ATACTCGTTTACTGACGACTCAGTCTTACAATGGGCTCTCTGACCAGTATGCATACCTAAATAATATTAGAGCCTATTGCCTTTATTTTGTTTATTACAATATACAGTACACTGCTGTATAAACATTTAAAAATATACCAGAAATGTTATAAATGGTGCAAAGGTGACATTAAAACAATAACAAAGATGGTTGACACAAACCCACTACCATTATAGTATGCTCCTCACTTAGCGGCGAATTCGTTTACCGACGTGATCTTAGGAACGAAACTCCATCGTTAAGTGAGGAGACGCTGTTATAATATCCTTCTGAAACCAGTGTTCTCCAAATTTTACAAAATCCAAACTAACAGGAGGGCCCCACTTTACGGTGATTCGCTAATATGGACACTTCAAATTACATCCTGATTCACTACTACGGCGTCTGCATGCCACTCTGTTTACATCCACCATGAGCTCTGTGTTTATCAATTATGTCTGGAAACTCCAAACTTTCAAGTGTTTTAAAGTTATTGTGTATTTTATATACAGACACTCCTCACTTAACAACCTACCTATGACCAGCTCTCTGACCAGCTGATGTTGTATGCTGTACAAGAAACTTGGTTGTGGAAACAGCAGCTTGGCGTCCTAGCATCAAGCATCTCATCTCGCATCACCCTTTCTCGGTCTCATTCCCGCAGTCAGTCAATATTCACTACACTAGCATTCACTATCTCCAAGACTACATATTTTGTCTATAAATTTGTACTTTATTGTGCACCCCATAGTATAAGATGTCAGTGAAAAGAAAGAGCATGACTTCACCTGGAGGAAGCGCCAAGAAACAAAGAAAGCTTATCAATTTTGAGATGCAAATGAAGATAATAAACAATTATGAAGCTGGTAAGAAAATTAAAGTGATAGCATGTGACATGAAGCTGGCGCATTCGACCATTTCGACAATCTTGAAGAATAAGTGAAAGCAGTGAAAGCATTGACAGGATTTAAAGCCATAGTAACTAGGCAGAGGAAAGGCCTCATTCATGAAATGGAGAAATTACTGGCAATCTGGTTTGATGACCATATGAGCCTTTAATAATTCAAGCCAAGGCATGCAGCATCTTTGAGAGACTGAAGACGAGTGAAGGGAAAGAACCAACGGAAACATTTATGGCAAGTCATGGATGGTTTCAACTGTTTCGTCAGAGATTCAACCTGCATAATCGAAGTATCAGCAGTGAGGGAGTGACAGAAAAGTTTATGAAAGGCACATGGAAAAAATGCCTAAAATGTTTCGATAATAATTTCAAAGGGCTTAACAAAGATGAATATGTCGATGTCATATATATAAAAATTGTGAAATTTACTATGTGCTTAATTTAGATGTTGATACCTGGAGTATACCTGGTGAGGGTTTCAGGGGTCAACGCCCCCGCAGCCCGGTCTGTAACCAGGCCTCGTGGTGGATCAGGGTCTGATCAACCAGGCTGCTGGTGTTGGCTGAACACAACATGACATACGAACCACAGCCCGGCTAGTCAGGTACTGACTTTAGGTGCCTGTCCAGTGCCTTCTTGAAGACAGCAGGGGTCTATTGGTAATCCCCCTTATGTATGCTGGAAGGCAGTTGAACAGTCTTGGGGCCCCTGACACTTATTGTGATGTCTCTTATCGTGCTAGTGGCACCTGCTTTTCATTGCGGGGATGTTGCATTTTCTGCCAAGTTTTTTGCCTTCACAGGGAGTGATTTTCGTGTGCAAATTTGGTACTAATCCACAGAACAGAGGACTCACAGGTAAGGACCCACTAGGGGCGAGGGGCAAGTGGGGACAGGGCGAAGAATAGTCGGTGAGAGGAATGTCTTGAGTCGAAGAGAGAAGAGTCAGGACTAGACCCAACAGCTAAGCCTTGGAAGCAGACGGAAACAGCAACACAAAAAACAGAACACTCAGTCGTCTGGCTGGCAAGCTATCTGCATATTGCATTCTTGATGTTGATTGGCGGCTGGCAGAAGCTGGAGGCGCGGTCAAGGGAGGCTATCTTCTTGATTGGTCAGGTGTCGTTGAAGTGTGAGTCAGGAGTTGCTTCATTTCTTCAGTGTTGGAGGCATTCTTTATGTTGTGCAGTTGTTGGGAGGAAACGATGAGTAGTCTTGTAATCTTGGGTCAAAAGGCTGGGTCGGCTTGTAATTGGTCAAAGGTCATCTTGAGTGCTGTGAAGGAGCAATGGGTTCCTTTACGATTTGTAAACTTGACTGTTCTGTCGACTAAATTCTCGTACAAAGTGTCGACATTCATGGATTTTCCAAGTGTATATAATCATTGTATCTCTCCCGCCTGCATTTTAGGGAGTACAGGTTGAGGAACTTCAAGAGTTCCCAGTAATTTAGGTGTTCTATCAGTTATGTGTGCTGTGAAGGTTCTCTGTACATTTTCTAGGTCAGCAATTTCATCTGTCCTGAAAGGTGCTGTTAATGTACAGCAATATTCCAGCCTAGATAGAACAAGCGACCTGAAGAGTGTCATCATGGGCTTGGCATCCCTCGTTTTGAAGTGGAAGATATTGAAGAATTAGTGGAATATGTCGAGGGAGAGCTAACAAATGAAGATTTAATAGAGCTGGAAGCGCAGTAGCACTTGGAAGAGTAAGAAGAGGAAAGAATGGAAGAAGTACAAAAGAAGGTTACTATAAAGGGTTTAGCTGGTGTATTCTGGAAAGTGAATGCTGCTATATCAGAACTAGAGGGTATGGACCCGAATGTTGAACAGTTCATGAAAGTGGAACAGCAAATGGATGAACTTTTGCAATGCTATCAATAAATTTATGAAGAAAAAGAGAAAATTACAAAGCAAACCACACTAATGGGATTCTTCTCAAAAGCTACACACTGGACCCCTACCCCTACAAGTCCTTCCATTTCCTCATCATCTTCCTTACCCTTGGGCCCTCTACAACTCCTGATAACCCTGATAACAATGCTCATCACTTATTGACCAATTCACTAAATGACCTCATTATAGGAACAGAACTCGGTCATTAAGTGAGGAGTGCCTGTACTCTGATAATTGTACTTTGTGTACTTGTACCTTAAACTTACAGTGCTGGTGTACAGGTACACATCAATATCAGTCTCACTAGTGATGAAGAAGCAATAATAATAATTATAAACACGCTATATATCGTATAAACCATAGTGGAATAAACTGGCGTATGACATGTGGTAGCCAGACGGCTTGTGGGTGATGGAAAAAATTCAGTTTTCTCTAGTCCAATGCCAGAGCTGTGCAATATATCAAATTACGGGGTGTGTGTGTGTGTGTGTTTAGCATAGAAAAATATTCCTTTCGTATGCCTTCACTTACAGTGTCATTCACTCTAAAAATGGGAAATGGTATGTTGTATGAGAATGGGAGTGTCACAGTTATTTATTCTACTACACCAATGTGAAGACAACTTGTACACGGTGTAAAGTGTTTGTATTGTGGGCGAAAAAGTTTCAAAAATGCATGCATTTTGCAAAATGAATGTACATGAACTGCGTTTGTCTGACCACCCATCACTCATTCACTCTGTTTACATATTCTGCATCTGTCTTGATCTTTCTCTCATTTACAATGGCATTGAAGAGTAGTTGTGATAAAAAGAGGAGTCGTGAGTCTCTTACGTTAAATGCCAAGTTAGAAATAATTAAACTTAGTGAACAAGGTACAGCGATGGCAATTAAACATAATAATAATTATTATTACTCTGAAGTGCTTGAAATGTAGTAAATTACAATATTAAAGACATTTTCATTAATCCATTTTTAAATTCAGTATGGTGTGGTAGCAGGGCTGGCTACCACACCTTACTTCCTCCAATAAATACTACTCATCTCTCATCCTACAGTAAGACTACAAATATTTTAAAGTAATAAGTGTACTGTATGTATGATAGTGTAAACATGTTACCAGGCATTTATATGCATTTAGAAGTGAAACAAAGGCTGATACGCCTGGAACCTAATTCGCTGTATAGGTGGGGCCTTACTGTCCTTTAATCCTTGAGGATTGAGACTCCCAGGGTTGAAGAATTTAAAAAAAATTATGAAATTACATGTAGAGAATCTTTTTCCGAAGGTAATGAAACTTGATGGAAATTTGATGGAAAACTTACAGAATTACAATCTCATGAAGTTAATGGTCTTGGTGATAGTATGCATCGGCAATTTTGCCCGCTTTAAGCCCTATTTTGGACCAATTCCATTCTTCCAGTTGACCAAATTCATAGCTCTTTAGCTAGGACTCCTTTTATTCTATCGATTGAGTACAAGAAACTGCCCATTTACCTATTTTAACTACCCAATAAAGTGATCAAAAATTGCTAATTGGGCCAATTTCACAAAAAATTCAAGAAAGGCCAATTTCAAAATAGGGTCCAGAATAAATAATGTAGACATTCCTGGCACTAAAATAACATTTTTTTTTCTGTTCATTAGTCAATGTTTCCAGGCCCCTCTTATATTATGGTTGCATTTCATTTTGAATTTTTATTCACACAAAAAATAGAAGATTTACTGTTATTCAGACCACTGCATAATGGTAATAATTGTATAAATAATGTCAGTGCATTCATGAGTGCATACTAGACAGGCCAGTTGATGTGTATTGGATGCATGACATGTTTTGTTTACTCCTGAACATTGGCAAAAATCGAACATTTCCACTACTTTGAGCTCAATTTCAAGCTACTTTTAGTCTGCAAACCATTCAAAATCATCTCCATTTCCATCAAATGAGACCAAGAAACCGAGAATACAACCATATGAAAATACACTGCAAAGTCACTGTTTCACACCAAAAACATGGTCGTTTTTTTTTTTATCTCACTGTGTACTGCGTGCTGCAGGATTTTTTTTTTATATTGCGCACACTGACCACGCAGACCCATTCTCTCATATGTAGGCCTACCAGCTTTCTCCTGCAAGACTGGAAGCCACTAGAATTTTGGTGTAGTTATACTGGACCGACCCTGGCTTCAAAGCCGAAATTTTTCAAGACAACCCCGAAAGGGTTAAACAATGATTATGCATACATCAGTTTTTTTCCTCAGCTGTGTAAATAGTAGGAGTTACGGAACAGAGCTTACAACAGTTAGTGAAAGTATATATTGAGATAATTTACTTAGTACATAAAAAGATATACAAATGTGATAGAGAATACTTAATGCTAGTACGTATATACAAAGTAATTTCCCATAGGTCAAAGAGATGCTCACTGCTGAAGTTCTATATAACAGAGAATAAATGTTTATTTGCAGACCTGCTACAGTGTTTCTGACTGATCTCAAGTGGATGGTGAAGTATTGGTAATAACATGAATCCTAACAGGGAATCCTTAATATTTAAAATAGAAGGCTCTTTCAAGATACAGTATGTATGTAGTTTTTAATTATTTCATCTAGAAAGAAAATAAATACATCATTGAAATTTTCCCTATGTAAAAGAAACTATGGCACAACTTACAAAAATATACAAAACGTTACAAATTTAATCTTAAAATTAAACAGCATTATTTGTACAACGTATATTTTACAAAACAATTTGTACTTAGCAGTTAAAAAATCATATTCGATTACAACAGAATTAAAAAATATGTAATACATATATACACTATTAGCTGCTAAAATACTAAAAATTCTTGAAGCATTACGCTTTATTTTGGTTGCATATAATGATGCAAAGGATTTGGTATTGTATAATATGGTATCCCCGGATTGTCCAACCTTGCATCTGGCTGTCTTAAGTTTTGACTCATATCTGTTGGGATTCCCTGATGGTGAAGTTCAGCAGCCTCTGCGTTGTGACTGGCTGCAGGATGGTTACGTAAATCTGCTGGTACAGTCATCGCATCATTTTTAATATTATTCCTACCTTCATTTCTACCATCTGAATGAAGAGGTCTAAAATTTGACACTTTTACAGCCTTAAGTTCCACAAGTGATGTACGAGCATTATCATGAGGAACTTCATGTCTATATTCTGGTCTTATCATATCGTGGCGTACATGTTCTTGTCTTTGCACAGGCTGTTGAAGTTCTTGTCTCATCATTTCCTGTCTTGGCATCTCCTGAGTATGCATATCATGGCTTTGTAATCCTAAAATTTGATTATGTGCATCTGTTGCATCCCCTTGTGTTGGTGTAGAGAGGGTGGTGTGTGTGTTCTGGGATGGAACAGGTGATTGTGTTGCCTTCTTCATTTCTTTCTGAACTTTTTGTTGTTGCAGCTCATCTTGCACCTTTTGAATATAGTACAGCTTTTGTTCATGAGCCACTTGATGTGCTTCTAAACTATGAACAGAACTAGCATCATGTAAAGGATCAGATTGTAAGTCATTTCTGAAGTCGGGTCTCATTTCAAGTATCATGTCCAAATGAATAGCAGATTCCAGTTCTGAAAACTCATCAAATAATCTGCCACCTTGCTGCTGCAAATAGTGTCTGAGAACTTGGCAAGCAATAACAGCTTCACATGCCTTTGGTGGACTTCGAACATTTTCTATGGCATCAATTTGGTTAGGCTGCTGGCTTTTATTGTTTGAAGTGTTAAATATATTGGAATGTGGATACTGAACAATATTGGTAATCATTCCTGTGTGTGGACTCAAACTTTGGGTGGACGCTTCCTCATGCTCAGTACAATGTAGTCCATCATCAGAAGTGACAAAAGCTTCAAAATCTTGCTGGCTAACCCCAGGTGGGGGGCTAACTTGGTCATAGACATTCAAAGCATTTACATCTTTGCTGAGTCCAGCTTTCACTACTCCTTTCACTATGGTTTCAGGACTAACATGCTTCCAGGCTTTATATATCATAAAAACTGCATCTAAAGTAGAAACACACCGACCCATTGATGGCGGTGACAAGCTATTATGATTGAATGCATTAGTATGATTCATCTGTTCATTGGCTTGTGTCTTTGCCAAAATATATTTCAGTTGTTGATATCTATACAAAGCCTTAAATGTGTAGATGATACCTAACTTCAATGGCTGCAAAACAGTTGCTGTACCTGGTGGGAAAAATGTTATATTAATGTTGAAAAGATGTAGATTTTCTGGATGATGAGCAGCCCTATTCAAAAGTACAATTATTTTCTTTCTTTTTGAACGTAATTCACGATCCCATTCCCACAACCATGAGGAAAAGAGTCCTAAAGTAATAGCAGCTTTAGGATGATGGTAGAAAGGCACTGGAAGATTAAGGGAGCTAAGTGACTGTGGTCGTCCTATCACTGCTGCAGGTCTCCGCTCAGTTCCAGCTAAATTGCATGCCAGTATAACAGACACTTTATCATTTCCACTGGAAGTTCCTGGAGTCATATATTTTGGTAGGGTATTATATGCTAAAGCAGTTTCATCAACAACCCACACATTTTGAAGTGGATATTCCTTAGTTGCCTTTGTAAACATGTATCTTCTCCAGTGATTCCCAACCTTGGTGACAGATGGAGCTCCATCTTTATCTTTAAATCTTTTAAGAGTTACTCCATTTCTGTCCTTCCATCTCCCTAGCCATCCAGCAGAAGGCTTAAATTCTATTCCCATTTCATTACCTATAGATTTTGCCTTTTCCATAAGAATAGGACCGGATATGGGTAAATCCTGTTTTTTAGCTTCCTTATACCAGTCAACTAATATTTGTTCGAGAGCACCAGCTTTACCAAGTCTGCAACGTTTACGGTCTGGGGTAGCAAACCTGTTCCATTGTGCCATAATGGCATCCTTGTTCTTCATGATTCTCGAAACCTGACTTTGACTTACACGAAACATAGAGGCAATCTTCCCTTGTGGTACTTTGGGTTCATGGTCAAGCATTTCAAGAACCTGAAAAAAAAATAATAATGGTAAAAAAATATATTCACTGATGCATACATTTAATATGAGGTGGAAGGGAAATTCTTCAAGACACTGCTTCAAAATTGAAATGTTCAGATTCATTGTTTAAAATAACTCAATTGTACTTGATATTGTAAATTGTCTACAGTAACTGTTACCATTAAATCTATTGTAGCTCAGATAGTCTTAAGTTAATTTTAAGCCTGCCCGCAATGCTCTGCATACAAGGGGCTTTTGACATGTACACCCAACTACTGTAATACCTTGTACAACTATGTATCATGTCCTAATAAAATATTATTATTATTATTATTATTATTATAAGGTATAATCCACACTGTCATAACCACCAGAATGCAAGGTTCAGATAAATACTTCTGAATATCCATAAGTAATAACATATAGTACAGTTAAACCCTCAAATTCATGTACTTCAACTATTTAATGTTTTGCTGAAATTCTGCATAACTTTGATGATTCAAGGTGCCTTTTTTTTTCAGGCTAGGTGCACAACCCCATAAATTCAAAACTAACTACAGGATTTCATTTACAATTCAATTCAAAGTTTATTCTCTTTAAGGATTACAATGTTGAGTTTACAGAATTTGGTTATTGTGTGGTTTACATGTAGTAAAATAATAATTACAGAGTGTACCACTAGAACACCTAGCATGGCTAAGCATTTTGGGCAGACTTAAATTAAATCTTAAGTTTAAAATATTACAAAATTATGAGGTAAGTTGGTATTATGGCTAAGTGACTAAATACTAGTTTGTGAGTTTAGCAATGTGAATGCTTTTGTTTTGGCACTATACATAGTTTCAGTATTGGAGTATCACAGGCCAACTTATGACTAGTTAAGATTCATTATTTTGAGATTGAGATTGATATTTCTGTTTATGGTCAAATGGGTGAGTGAGTGTAAGCGTTAACCACCAGGTGGTATTCGTGTAATTAGTTGACAGGGTGTATCAGGGAGATAAGATGTTTTCTGATGGTAGTTTTGAAGGTGATGAATGTGTCTGCAGTTTTAGAATTTTCAGGTAGGGTGTTCCAGATTTTAGGGCCTTTGACATACATTGAATTTTTGTAAAGGTTTAGTCGGACACGGGGAATGTCATAGAGATGTTTGTGTCTGGTGTTGTGCCTGTGGGTTCTGTCACAACTATCAAGAAAGCGTTTTAGGTCAAGGTTAATATTGGAATTTAAGGTCCTGTAGATGTAGATTGCACAGTAGTAAGTGTGGATGTACTGAACAGGGAGTAAGTTTAGATCTATGAAGAGTGGGGGGGGGGGGTTACCAGGGATGGGATTTAGTGATTATTCTTACTGCGGCTTTTTGTTGGGTTATTATTGGCTTTAGGTGTGTTGCTGCAGTTGAACCCCAAGCACAGATAACATAGGTGAGGTATGGATATACAGTGGACCCCCGCATACCGTTGGCATCACTTAACGTTAAATCCGCACAGCGATACATTTTATCACTAAAATTTTGCCTCGCATAGCGCTAAAAAACTCGCTCAACGCTATTCGTCTGAGACGCGTCTATGTGAGGCCTGAGCCAGCCTCACATGTTCCGCCGGTGGCATTGTTTACAAGCCAGCCTCCGCGGTAACATCCAAGCATACAATCGGAACATTTCGTATTATTACAGCGTTTTTGGTGATTTTATCTGCAAAATAAGTGACCATGGGCCCCAAGAAAGCTTCTAGTGCCAACCCTGTGGTAAAAAGGGTGAGAAATATTATCGAAATACTGTGGTACCATGGTCAACTGCTGCTGCTGCTGTAGCACCGTCAGCTGCTGCTGCTGCACCACCGTCAGCTGCTGCTGCTGTACCACCGTCAGCTGCTGCTGCTGCTGTAGCACTGTCAGCTGCTGCTGCTGTAGTACTGTCTGCTGCTGCTGTAGCACCATCTGCTGCTGCTGTAGCACTGTCAGCTGCTGCTGTAGCACTGTCAGCTGCTGCTGCTGCTGCTGTAGCACTGTCAGCTGCTGCTGCTGCTGCTGTAGCACTGTCAGCTGCTGCTGTAGCACCGTCAGCTGCTGCTGCTGCTGTAGTATCGTCTGCTGCTGCTGTAGCACCATCTGCTGCTGCTGTAGCACTGTCAGCTGCTGCTGCTGCTGTAGCACCGTCAGCTGCTGCTGCTGCTGCTGCAGTACCATCTGCTGCTGCTGTAGCAGTCTGCTGCTGCTGTAGCACTGTCAGCTGCTGCTACTGTAGCGCTGTCAGCTGCTGCTACTGTAGCACCGTTGTTGGTGTGGCTTATTGAGAATACCAAGAAACAATTAACCCCAGAGGGTTAGCCACCCAGGATAACCTAAAAAAGTCAGTGTCATTGAAGACTGTCTAACTTATTTCCATTGGGGTCCTTAATCTTGTCTCCCAGGATGCAACCCACACCAGCCGACTAACACCCAGGTGAACAGGGAAAAATGCCTGGAACTAGTGCTCATATTGGTGAATTTAAAGCCAGCAAAGGTTGGTTTGTGAGATTTAAGAATCGTAGTGGCATACACAGTGTGATAAGGCCTGTTCTGGAAGAAAATGTCAAACAGGACCTACAGTACTCAGGAGGAAAAGGCACTCCCAGGACACAGTGTCTTATCAGTCATTGCTGCATCTTCAAAAAAGGTAAGTGTTATTTATTCTTCATTTAGTAGAGTAGTACATGCACAATATATATTGTGCATGTACTACTCTACTATTGTGCATGTATCCTTCTCTGTGTGTGTAGGAAAATGTATATTTCATATGGTAAAAATATTTTTTTCATACTTTTGGGTGTCTTGCACGGATTTAATTTCCATTATTTCTTATGGGGAAAATTCATTCGCATAACGATAATTTCGCATAACAATGAGCTCTCAGGAACGGATTAATATCGTTATGCAGGGGTCCACTGTATAAGTGAATGGTATAGTGTGAGAAGGGCAGTTTGCGGCACGTAGTATCATATCTTGGAGAGGATCCCAACCGTTTTGGATACTTTTTTGGTTATGTGTTGGATATGGGTGCTGAAGTTCAGGTTGGTGTCGAGGTATAGGCCTAGGAATTTGCCCTCATTATGCCTGGCAATTAGAGTGTTGTCGATCTTAATGTTAATTTGCGCATCTCCTGCTCTGCTACCAAACATAATGTAGTAGGTTTTGTCAGTGTTAAGCGTAAGTTTATTGGCTGTCATCCAGTCGATATTTTGATCAGCTCCTCATTAACAATGGTGTTGAGGGTGGCAAGATTAGGGTGAGAGATGACATAAGTCATGTCATCAGCAAAGAGAATGGGGTTCAGGTGTTGAGATACGTTTGGAAGATCATTGATGTATATGAGGAAGAGCAGGGGACCAAGGACACTTCCCTGCGGAACTCCAGTATCAAGTGGCTGTGTTGTTGATGCTGTCTTTAATGGTGACATACTGATACCTATTAATAAGGTAAGATTTGAAATATGCAAGCGCATGGCCTCTTATACCATAATGGTCAAGTTTGTGGAGTAGGATGCCATGGTCTACTGTGTCAAAAGCTTTTCTTAGGTCAATAAAAATTCCTAGTGGATATTCCTTATGTAAAGCAGATCTAGCATTTTTATGATGGCATCGTTAGTGCTTTTATTTTTCCTGAATCCAAATTGGCAGGGGTTGACTATGTTTTGTGCCGTTATAAATGAATATAGTCTCCTGTGCACGAGTTTCTCAAAGATTTTGGATAGCAATGGTAAGTTTGGTATTGGCCTATAGTTGTTTAAATCTGTAGGGTCACCACCTTTATGTATTGGTGTAACCCTTGCCGTCTTGAGTAGTTTCGGGAAGCTAGTTTCGAGTGACTTGTTAAAAAGTAATGAGATAGCATGCGAGAGGACATGGGCCGCTCTCTTGTACAATAATGGTGGGACATGAGACAGATTCCCTGAGTTATTTTTAAGTGACTTTATAATCTTGGGGACTTCCGTGGGCTCAGTTGGAGCAAGATAGAAGGAATTTGGGAAATTCCCATCTAGGTAGTCCCCGGCATGGGCATTGGTACGTGGTATTTTATTGGCGAGATTAGAACCTATGGTTGAGAAGAAGTCGTTTATCTTGTTAGCTGTGTCAGTGGGATGCAGTGGTGTTTCATTAGGTTTAGTTAAGACAATATTCTTGGCTTTTTTCAGTTTGTGGGTCCCTAGAATCTGAGAGAGTGTTTTCCAGGTCTTTTTTATATCTCCTCTTGTGTCAGTGAATCTACTGGAGTAGTATAGTTGTTTGGCTTTCTTTATTACTTTGGTGAGGACTGATGAATAGTGTTTAAGAATATCTTTGTGTATTAGGCCCTGTCTATATTGCTTTTCATATTGGTGTTTCTTATCAATGGATTTCAGAATGGTGCTGGTTAGCCATGGGCAACCAAGCCGTTTGTGATCTGTTTCGTTTTTATAGGACAATGTTTGTTGTATAGTCTAAGTAATTTGTTAAGAAAAATGTCTGTCCAGTCATCAATACCATTGGCCTTGGAGAATTCTGTAGGCCAGTCAACAGTCTCTAGGTCAGCTGTGAACTTCCTCATTGAGGCCTCATCATGGAGTCTAAATGAAACTTTGTTGTATTCAAGTGGTGGTTTACTAATGTTTGTCAAGAGGAAGGTAGGGTAGTGGTCTGTAGTGCTATCTGTGATTATTCCTGATTTAAGGGGGGCTAGTATATTGGTCCATATGTGGTCTATTATGGTTGCACTTGTTTCAGGGAGCCTGGTTGGTTTAGTTATTGTTGGTATGAGAAGTGTGTTGTTCATATTGTTGATGAAATCAGTTACAGGCTGATCATCTAGTAGGCCAAGGTTGATGTTGAAGTCTCCAGCTAAGAGAAGGTGGTGCTTATTCATTTGTCTGTTTGTTATTAGTTCCTTTAATTTCTCACTGAAATTTGGGATGTTTGTGTGGGGTATCCGGTAAATGGTACCGATTGTTATAGGCGTCTTAAGGTTTTTTACAGTAAAATTAGCAAAAATGTATT